GAGGAGAGGAGATGGGCACCGCCACTCATTATGCCGCTCCCATTGAAAGAGTGGACCTCTAACATCCCACTGCCCCTGCGGCCAGTAACGGCAATGGGACCTTTACCTTAACCCTTTTACAAAATTGTTGACGGGCGCCTAACGTCACAAACCCTTCTTTCGTCAAGACTCAATGAATATCAGGCTTATGAGGAAATGCCATTTCAATGCTAGCAGAATCGTTGTCAAGAGCATGCATTCGTGACTGTGGCATTTGACCATCAGATATGACTGGAAAACACTCAAACTTCTAAAATGGTTGGTTTGAGTTGGATTTTCAACCCTGCTCCCCACCAAATCTGATCACAGGGTGTTGGTTCCGAATCACGCACACGCTTCTGATGTGTCCGATATCCATCTCTCCCGGGAATAAAACAAAATCCGAAATGGGATTTCCAACGAAGAACGAGTCTGGAATCTCAACGCACCAGACGGCATGATCCGTCATGACACATCACGAGCGCACACATAAGGCCCTCACTTTACTGAAACCCCGCAGTCAAACCATATGTGACGACAAGATATTGACGGCATTTAATTACGAAGCCGGGAGGTGGTCAAAAGGTAGAGGTTTACGGCTGACGGCGCATGAATGAAGTGCTGTCATAAGTAATAACATTCATGGCGGGTGGCCTATTGTATAAGCGTGATGGCTTTCGATTGCCCATCGAGTTAAGTTGTTATAAGTAAGCAATGCTGGTCTATATAGGGCTACACAGCATGGTACATTGACAGCAGCCATGGACCTTAACCTGTGTTTTATTTGATGTATAATCGAAGAAATTTGCGGCTAGGTTAGATAGGTATGTTGTCACATTTAACAGAGCATTTCAAATTATTTGCTAGTTGTTATCAGATTTACGAGGTGGAACTTGTGGACGAGGAAGCTTGCATTTGAAGGCATAAAGGATCATTTGCTTTTCACACATTTTCTTCGTTTCCAATAATAACGTCACTCGAAATCCAAAGAAGAGTGTTCAAAACCTAGTGTCAGCTCGATCGTTTCGAGAAAACATTGAAAAACCATGCCAAACCTTTCGATCACAAAACTCGATTTCGTCAACATCTTTATTTCCAAAAATCAGTCAATTGACTGATCGTTGGAAATAACCTACATTTCCGGATTTTTTCTTAATGACAACAGGCCAGAAGGAATAATTTCAAGGGGTGTTTAGTGTCAGTAAGCTTTTTGAAAAATATTATTTGGTAGGATACTGTTGGGATAAATGCAAATGATCCTATATGCATTTAATCTTATACATGTATAAAACTGTTTCAGATTTGACAAGAACCAGTCAACAATGCACACAGCTGACTTTGTCTAAGGAATTGAAATTCGTATGCGCGAGTGTATAAATGGAATACTTAAAAATATTATTTGAAATTAAAATACAATGTTTGTATGAGATGCACCTTGTGACTTCCCATATTTATCCGAGGCCGCTTTCGGGTAGTCAAGGGGGAAATCAAATGTTAGCTTCGTGCTCTAGCACATAGGCTACATCATTTTTGTTTTGACCATTATGAAACATGTAGGCCGAATATGGAAATATTTTTATCCTTAAAATTAATTCAGAAAAAAAGAAGATACGGCTATAAATTTACACCACTAACCACTTTTGATAATAAGATACGCGATACGAAGATGTCTGCGTTAATGCTGAATGGCAGCCGTATCCCGCAGGCCATTTTGTTTTTCATTTTTAAAGTAAAATTTGTGAGTTTCTCGCATTTTGAAAAAAAAATCATCAATACTAACATAAAAGAAGAGTTGAATTGATGTGTGCAGCTTGGGATTCGTTAATCCTCAGACAAGCATGCTGATTAATGCTCTGAAATGCCATCGACTTATTGTACCTTTTCTGACGCAGCACCGCGAGCATTTTGCGTTGAATTGTCATGGAATTGCGTCCATCAGGCCTGAGGGTGAATGTATCTGATTAAAGCAACGAGTCTCGAGGATTTCATCGGGAAGAAAAATACAACGAATAAGCTTGAAGGCAGAGGAAGAACATTCACGAAGTTAAGAAATCGTGTCTAAATGCACGAGACCGCAGATTTTTTAAAGCTACATTTGCCCTTTTTTCGTATTCCAAAACATGTTCGAAATTACCCTTGAGATACCGCCTAGTCTTTGATGCAGTCATACGCTGATAGCTTTGTCGCTTTTTTCCCCCAGGTTTCTCAGTAAACGTCACTTATTTTTTTTCTTTTCTTTGTGTTTGTGCCAGGCTACACGTGGAATATATGTTTTTGCTAGCAGGGCATTTACTGTATCAATTGGCCTTGGGGAAAGTTTCCGCATTGTATCGACACATGAGGCCTTCACGCTTTTGACGAATGTCATATTCACGAAGTACTATTTCTACACTTCGGGATACCTCTTACACAAACTTTCTGTCTAACACTTAGCTGTACAGGGTGAACGATCCCCCCCCCCCCAACAAGAAAGGCAACCCTGAAACATTTGGCCTTTTTCAAAAATGTAATATGTTAATTCTTATCAGATTCAACCTAAGAGCGTTTTCTTACTGAAAAATCATAAAAATGGCACATTGGGTGGCCAAGAAAATGCTAATTATGTAAAAGAAGTGAGTTTTCATCCTTTTCAATAGTGCTTAAATCTGTGAAATATTTTTCTGTAAGTCCACTGTGCAATTGTCTTTCATTTATGCAATTTCTTTAATTTGTTGACATATTTACGATGCTTAAAAGGTTTTAAAATGGGACTAAAAAGAGTAAGATACCCTTTTTAAGGGGGAAATATTTCCATCAAAATTCATTTGTTACTCTTGCCTTATTAAGCATTAGGACGCAATGCGCTACATGCATTACATGCACAAATAGGTACAGTGTACAATGTAAATCCCTTACTGTGGTAATATGTCATTGGAACGGACCAAAACGGGGTTGCGTTACATAATTGGCATTTTCTAAGCAACTAATGGCTGTTTTCATATGTTTACAGTATTTGAAAGAAAAAGCTCTCAGCTTTAATCTGATACCCAAAACATAAAAATTCACAAATGTTTCAGGGTTGCTTTTTTGATCACCCTGTAGCCTAGTATTAAACATTTCCAGTGCACGGTACACAACGTTGCAACTCCATAAATTAGCCGAATATCGCATTTTGTTCTATATTTGCCTAAACCTTCGAGCATGTAGCACCTTCGAAGCATTGAATCGGCCTTTTCCTTCATGTTGACATCATTTAATGTTTACATTTAATTTTTGTGCTTTTGAAAACTTAATAACATAATCTTCTGCGAAAAACGTTCGGTATATTTTTACCTGAATGAATTTCATTGAGGATTTTAACGTGAAAATAAAATGTCGAATTGAAATGAATTGAATTAAATTTTAAAAAACCTGATTCACAATGACATAAGATGGACAATTATTCGCTATAGTCCGCGCGAGGGACTCTTGTCTGGTGTCCCTAGGGACACCCCCCCCCGCCCCAACCTTCCTCCTTCAAACGCACCGGCGCCCCCATAAAAACTTCCCCCAGTGAACAGTGGACACCAAGTTTCCGGGGGAGGGGCGGCAGTAGTCTGGCCCAGACCGCTGTGTTTGGATACGGCAGGTCTTGATCGATACGGGGGAGGAAATCGTACTATTTCAGCCGTGCACAGACAGCTGGCAAACCAACCTGATCAAACAGTCGATTACAAAAATCCACCCTGGGTATATTTCATATGTAATCGAGGCGCGGAATATGCGAATGCCACCTGCGTAAAAAGCGGTCGAGGATATTCCATGAGCTTTGTCCCCGAGAAATAACACTTGTGTTTCATTTGGATTCTGTTTTTCCTGCTGTTTCTCATTTTTTTTTGTCTCAGCGGTTTTTCTTTTTGGTAATGTCGGATAAGGGTTGAGCAAATTGACTGGAAAGGAAGTTCTGTGTAGGATGCGCCGGATGCGCCAACACCCACACCAAAATTGGAATTATCGCGACTTGCACTGCGACGGTCTTGCACTGCGACGGAACAGAGTCAAATCTTGCATTATGTGTTCACATGCATCCTATTAGAAGATGAGAAAGAATCGTAACGTTGCATATATTGTCTCCAAGATTTGTCGGAAAATGGTATTTTTGCATTATTTACTTTGCAGAGTGTTTACAGGTGTTTAGCGTTAGGGTTTTATCGGAACCACCACTCTGTGGTGTTTCACGAGATTGCACGTCAGTGACTGATTATCATGCGTTTGTTGACAGTGCAGCTGTACTTTTGCTTCGAATTGAACTTTATCTCCGAACATATAATATTCATTACGGAGGGTTCTACTCAGCGATGGCCGCAAACTGCCGGTTTTTAATTTTCACGACCGTCGATTCGTCTGCAACGCACGCCATATGTTGCCAACTCTTACCGTCTCACGCGCTCAGTGAATCAACATGATGAGAGTTTACACAACTTGCTAGCGAAATATATCCGATATAGGTTCCTGTCAACAAGCCGCTTCGCAACTAGAAGTGCGAGATATAAAACAGCGCGGCTGTCGAGTATGTTCGGCGGTTGTACACAGATTATGGTGCTGCTTGTTCGCCGTTTGTTGCCGCTTGTCACTTGTCACTTGCAGCTCACATTTTGTGGCAGACAAGGGGTAACATTGGAGAAATTGGAATGTCATGGTAACATTGATTTTCATGTCTCGCATGCATGATTCGTCATTGAGCCAAGTGCAAAATGCCGAAAAGACAAATGTATAAAAAAAAAACCTATTGCAGAGCTGCGATGCTGAACGGCGTTGCTGAATCGAACAATGTGAATTTCACGTTTTCCTAAAAATAAGATGTCTGTTTTCTCAAAAACACTCATTTGATGCTTACCTTAAAAGTTATGGACTATTTTAACATTATGATAACACCATTTCCACTTTTTGTATTTGCCATTCTGGTTTAATGAAAAATGCGTTTACGTGTGTTTTTATTTGTTTATTTCAACTACAGATGAAGATGAGCTGCTGTGAAATTTGGCTCTGCAACATGGGATCTGTCGATGGTGTGCTCTTGTCATCACTATCTCCAATTTATGAGTTCGTCATCCTTGATGAGTCTCATTCATAAACGTCACTGAACAAAAAAACTCTTCTTCGCATTCTTGCCCAAGATGGCACAAATGCAGAACTGTATATGCATTTTGCCGGTCAGCTTCCTACTCATGTGCTATGCAGTGGTGGCCGTGTATCCAGAGTACTTGGCCAACGTGGGCGAGGGGAAGAAGCTCAGAGTGGACGGTAATATAGTGCTGGGAGGGCTATTTCCTATCCACGAGAAGGGGAAAAACGGGAGCATCTGTGGCATCATCAACGAGGATCGAGGAATACAGAGGCTTGAGGCTATGCTGTTTGCCATTGACTTGATCAACAATGACACTAACCTGCTACCCGGAATTACGATCGGTGCTGAGATCAGAGATACGTGTTCTGAGGACACCTACGCCTTGGAGCAATCGCTGGAGTTCGTCCGCGCGTCGTTGACCACGGTCAGTGCGTCTACGTCCCCGGAATGCCCTGCGGAGTACGTCAATAAGACCCGTCAGCCTGGCGTTGTGGCCGGGGTCATCGGTGGGTCGTACAGTACTGTCTCCATCCAGGTAGCCAACTTGCTGCGTCTGTTTCAGATCCCACAGATCAGCTATGCCTCCACCAGCTCTGAGTTAACGGATCGCAAGAGGTTCGAGTATTTCGCCCGGACTGTTCCTCCGGACACGCTTCAGGCCAAAGCCATTGCTGACATCATCGCATCGTTCGGCTGGACTTATGTCTCTACCATCGCGTCCGAAGGCAACTACGGTGAGTCCGGCATCTACGAGTTCACCAAAGAGGCTGGCTTGAGGAATATTTGTATAGCCAGATCGGAGAAGATCCTCCGCTCTGCTGACTCGCAGACTTACGATAACATCATCACTCGACTGAGGAGAAAGCAAAATGCCCGAGTTGTGGTTCTGTTTACTCGGGTCGAGGATGCCAGAGACCTCCTGAGTGCCGCCAAGAGGGCCAACCTCAGCCAAAACTTTATCTGGCTGGCCGCTGACGGCTGGGGAGCCCAAGAGTCCCCAGTTAAAGGTAGCGAAGCTGTGGCCGAAGGCGCCATAACTATCGAGTTGCAGACTAAAAAGGTTGAGAAATTCGACGAGTACTTCTTGCACCTAAATCCCAGGACTAACAAGCGTAACCCGTGGTTCAAGGAGTACTGGGAACAGAAATTCCAGTGTGAGTTACCGGAGATTCCCGAGGAGGGAAGCTGCGAGAAGAGATCCTTAGATGATGGAACTCACCTGCAAGAGAAGAAGACACAGTTTGTTGTGGATGCAGTGTACGCCCTTGTCATGGCGCTGGATCACATGCATCGCGTTGTATGCAATGAGACATCTTCCCTGTGCGATGGTATGATCCCGATAAATGGGAAACAACTCTTCAAAGAATTCGTCCTCAAAGTGTCATTTAAAGGTAAATTTCATTGTGAACCTTACGATAATTTGCATGCGAACGATTTCGTTTTTTGCTTTTGTTGTTGTTGAGGTTCTATTTCAACTTTTGTCAATATCAACCTTTAATATAGCTGATTCAGCTTTCATGCAAATGTGAGTGCGAAGCATCTTCAAATAATGTGACGTCATAAAACATTCAAGGCAAAATTACCTTGGGTGGAAATATGCCAACTTTACAAATACTTGCTCGTATGTCACTAATTTGCCTTCGCCTAGACTTTCACGCCGATCCTGGACCAATCTTTCATTCTATAAAGTGAATTTAAAAGCGGAGTGAATTCGTAATGGTAGCGTTGACCATCACACTGAAAGATATGTAATTTGTTCTGCTGTAAGAGCCCAGCTTCACACGTCAATATCCAGATAATCAACTTAAAAGAGGTATTAAGGCAATTCAGAACATTAAAAAAAACCCACCAAATCAACATTAGATTACCCTTCACTGACGTAAAGGACAGCTGTATAAACTCAGAGCTAGCATGCATCTCGAGTATCAAAGAGTGGCGGATCTAGGGGGTCGAGGGGATGTAGCCCTCCCATTTTGCTTTTCATATTTAAATAGTATAGTTAATAAGCTTTCAAACAACGAAAAACTCTTTCCAATCAGGTAAATATTTTGTGAGTTATGGCCAATTGAAAACAAGCGCCGCTTTTCATTTTGTCAACGGCAACTGATATTTTGACTGCCGCTGTAAGAACAAGGGCCGAGACTTGCATCCGTGAAAAAAGGCTACCAAGTAGAGGGCAGAGACAGAGCAGCACAGTAAACATCTAAGACGTTAACCAAACAGTCCTTGTTAGGAATACCATTGCTTCCAAAATGGATAATTATGACCATTGCTGCAAAAAACCTAAAAATATAGAAAACAACCCGAATAAAGAAAGAACGTTTAAATCATGAAAGAAAGCTCAACCACCCTTACCCCAAATCCATTACATTTTTAACGAATGACAATTGGAACTGTGGACAGATTGAAAAATCGGCACTTATTTTGAATTGGCCATAACTCAATAAATATTTACCCGATTGGAAAGCTTTTTTGGTTGTTGAAAAGCTACTGAACTGTACTCTCCAAACATGTGTCGATATTTGCAATGTATTTTTTTAAAGCTGTAAAAAAAGAGGGCGCTTTGAGTTGTTGTTGTTGTTGTTGTTGTTGGTTTTTTTTTGGGGGGGGGGAGGACATCCTGTATAATAAGAGGTTTTTAACGTACAGACAGTACAGGCGTGAAGGACCTAAGAGACAGTCCCGGAAGGATGGCCGAAATAGTTTTCTTTCTAGAGCTTTCATAGTACAGTTACATACGACAGTAATTTTTTACAGAACACTATCGGCAAATAGCATGGAACGTATGATTTGCATTTCCTTTACAAGTATAAAAACCTAAATGAACAACCTTTCTCCGTGAATTGCAGATATTGTCGACCAACAAGTCAGCTTCGACGAAAATGGTAACGGTCTTGGCCGGTACGACATCCTGAATTTTCGGCGTGATGAGAACCACCCTAACCGGTACCAGTACGTCAAAGTCGGCAAGTGGCACGGCCAGCTGGAGATGGACCTGCAGGCGGTCGAGTTCCATCCGTCGGTGTCGGTACTGTCGGACACCAAGCTTCCAATGTCCCAGTGCAGTCTTCCGTGCAAGGACGGAGAGATCAAACGCTTGCAGGATGATGACGAGATATGCTGTTGGCTGTGCTCGGCATGTCTGCCCCACCAGTACGTGGAGAACGAGCACACCTGTCAGGATTGCGAGATGGGTTACTATCCTACCAAGAACCTGAGCGGATGCTACAAGCTGACGGAGGAATTCATGGAGCTGGCTACTCTATGGAGCATCATCCCTATGGCTTTTTCTCTACTCGGGATTATGGTCACGTGCGCGGTGGCTATGGTGTTTATCACCCACAACCAGACGCCGTTGGTTAAAGCATCCAGCAGGGAGCTAAGCTACATCCTCCTGTTGGGATTTGCTGCTTGTTTTGCCATGACCCTCCCGATTCTCGCTATGCCCTCAGTGACAAGCTGCTCTATCCAGCGAGTTGGCCTGGGTCTGTCCTTCTGCATGTGCTACTCTGCCCTCTTGACCAAAACCAACCGGATCGCACGGATATTTGACAGTGCCTCGCGCTCGGCACAGAGACCAAAATACATCAGCCCAAAGTCCCAGTTAGTTATCTGCTTTGGGCTGGTCAGCGTGCAACTCTTTGGAGAGCTAGTTTGGCTGATTGTTCAGCCCCCAGGAGCTAGCGTCCACTACTCCGAAGCTAGAGATCACGCCATTCTGAAATGTAATATATCGGACGTGTCGCTGGTGGTATCTCTTGCCTACAACATGTTTCTTATCCTTTGCTGCACGGTGTATGCGTTCAAGACGCGCAAAATCCCAGAGAATTTCAACGAAGCCAAGTTTATCGGTTTCACCATGTACACGACCTGTATAGTTTGGCTGGCGTTTGTCCCGCTGTATTTTGGAACAACTTGGGATTTCAGGGTAAGTGATCTTCCTCTTGCAGCAAAAGTGGTGAACTGTTTAGGCTCTATAATAATAATACTAGTTGCATCTTGCATCTTACTGTTGTTTTACACTTTCTTAGAAACCGCAGTAAGCTTGCATCCAGCCGAGTTAGTGGAGCACCGAGAATTTGCCTTAGGGAGGGAGGATGAGGGAAAGGCTCACAGGGTTATTTTTTTCCGACTGGCAAATGCAAATTAGCCAGGGGGCTGCATTTGACGCTGGTAATTAGCAGTGATTGTATATGCATGCAAATCACATTCAGGGTAGGTGCTGAATGGTCGGATATGGGAGGCCAGGGACGTACCCAATTCCTCCCAGGCGTACCCCAGATGCTCCACTGGGTGAGCGTGCAACTTTGACTGGCCCTAGTCCAATCCAATCATTTGTTTAAAGGGTTTACTGAATACTAGACACACGTAGATCAAAATTAAATGATATATATATAATAGGTATACACATTTAACCATACCGTAAAGAATGGAGAAAATGAATACTTTGCAGACCTAGTTTGAAATGGAATTAACGTCACGTCCTTGGTACATCTTTAAATCTGAAATCAACAAAGGTACAAATATGTTTGGTAAATTTATTTCTCATGTGATCGTCTTTAAGCTAGGCCCAACAAATCAGATTAAAAAAAAGATAACAATCCTCAGTTGAGGTACGCCCGCTTGCCTGGGCCCCTTCTAGCGTGACACATCGCCTACATCAATTTCTAATATGTCTTTAAGTGCAAAGTCATAAAAACAGGTGCATTGTGCGAAGCTTCAAAGTCATTGATCAATTAAAGTTCCGGTTTTCATAAATTGTGCACTGATTTGCAATTATTCACCGGGGCAACCGGGCCTCGTGTGACGCGGGCGGGCCGGTGTATTGTCACCTTGAGACCGCCCTGATTGTCCGGCTGAGGACATCAGCCAAGCACGCTGGCATGCACCTGCTTTTCAGGGAGAACATGTGAGGGACCGTTAGGGCTTGTTTAAAAGGGTCGAACTGGGGACCTTGACAAAGCATCAGAAAGGTGAAAGTCATGACCCAGGATTCGAAATCAAAGCAACGTCTAACGTCGAGACAACTGGGACTGGAGGGAACTGGACTCCAAAGTCTTTTTCATCGGAACTGCAAATTGTATTATTTGTGCCGGGATTTGAGTCATGTACAAGCAAGCTGTTACGGCAATTAATGTTTCAGTGAATCATTTGTTGGACACTTTTAAGACATCAGAGGGCGCCGCAGCGTTGTAGTCTATAGTCCCTCACGAGTCAGTCACAACTCCTCCGTTCTAAAAAGTCAAGTTTCAAACTATTTAAATGAACTGTGACAAAAACAGTCCTTAGTAAATGTTTACCAACTGTTGCTTTGTGACTGGACTGTGGAAGGACTTGTGATTTACTTTTGACCCGACTTGCGATTACATTGCGATGGGCTTGTAATGGGCTCGACTACACACTTGAGGGCGGCAGATTTATTCTATTCCAACACTGTTTAGCGTTGTTGATCAGTGTCGCACCCAATCGATTGTGCTCATTCAGAAACAGTGTGCATTGTGCCCCCAATATTTATTTAGTGATAAATAATTAGAAAAGATGCGAGTCAGAAAACAGTTACCTATTGCCTGCCTATCAACGTCCTGTTTGGTTATTTCATCGAAAGACTATATTGATAATGTGCATCGAACGCCAAAATAGTGAAATGCTGATAGTATGGGCCTGGTATATAACCACAAATTCGTGATGTAATTGGCAACATATTCTTAGGCAACTACGGATAACATGGACTCGATGTGTTGTCCCTTGCGCGATTTGTTGCCAATGGTTTATCCCGCCAACACAATATAAACAGCGCCCTCATCCCAAAATATCGTTGATAGTAGAGGGCGGTATTCATTAGGCAATTTTCGCTCTTACCCCCGCCCTGCAAACAGGGCGCTGGGAAGGGATCGATGAGCTTCACGGAATCTTGTGAAGGAAGTGGCGATGGCATTCTGGGTCATTTATCATGACCTATGTATAAAGCATCTGGCTGCAGCTGTTAAAGACCGCGGTTAGCCAATGCGCGCAAATACTATCCGAAAGTTTGCCATAGAAATGCATACACACCATACCGGATGTGATTTCTTTTTCATTGCGGACCATGCGGACACATTTTGAGCGTCGAATAATATGCATTTTGAGCCTTCGTGAATTCGAAACAGAGCCTGAGCAACTGACGGACGTTGAACATTTACAAAATAGATACGTTTTACAGATTTTCCAACATTAAATGCTTCTCAACCAAAAAAAGGGCGCCGCATTTATGAATATAATGGGAATAAAAGAGTGATGAATGACTCAGTCTTAACGGCCGTTTCAAACGTTGCAGGGTCGTGGTCGTGATGACTTGCAGGTCACAGGTCACGCAAAATCTATCCAATCGGAGCGTTAATTCGTCAGCCCTTCCCAGCGTCCTGTTTGCAGGGCGGGGGGTACGAGCGAATAGGCAATTTCGCCAAAAATAACGATACACAAAACGCAGTCCTGCTGATTAACATGTTCAGATTTTTTCGTCGTATAAATTATATCCTGTATATATGGCTTTCCAATCATATTTCGTCCCTAGCAGAAGACAAAGAAGAATAGGTTGTTGGGTAACTCTGGATTTATATCAATAAATGACTGTCCTCAGACTCATTTGAGCAATTTTGTTGTTTAGAGCGTAAAAACATGCACAAAAAGCAAATGACCCTTCTTTATACTACACTCCACCAGTCGACCTTCTGGACGTATTGCCTGCTTGCTTACTCCTTATCACACAGGGCACGATAAATGCAGTTTTGTCATGGGATTCGTTTGTTAAGTAACAGTCAATATTTTGACTAAGTTGTTTTTAGAGTAAGAGAGGGAGCAACCTTAGGACGCATCGACAAAAGGTGCAGTAGATTTTATTTAAAGTAGAATTATTACTTGAAGTGCCGTTTTTGTGTTTCTTTTCAGATGCAATTGACAACCCTTTGCATCACAGTCAGCATGAGTGCCACGGTAGGGCTGGCTTGCCTGTTCGCGCCCAAAGTCTACATCATAGTCTTTCAACCTGAGAAGAACGTTCGACGACTGAACACCACGTCTACTAGGAGGTCACATTACGATGCACCACCCAGAGACGTGGCGAACAACCACAGCCAAAGCGGAAGTAGAGGTATATCATCATTTCCTTGATAATGAATTTTAGGATAGATTTCTGAAACATTTAACCTGCAGCCACGTTAATTGAGCTGCTCAGTGAAACGTTAGTGGACTATACACATCCCTCCCCAATCAGTCACATGTACAGTCACGTGCACGCCGGCATCCCTACATTGAAACAGCTAACTTTTCTCCCGGACGTACATTTCTGAAATTGCTATAGGAAACGCGTAGGTTTGAAACAGGCGCTAGTCTTTGTCTAGGATTTATGGGGCGGGGCCTCTGGATCATGCATTGCCCATGTATTTGAAGTACTTTGATGTCTTGAACGAAACGCAATTTTTTTTTTTTTTTTTTTTTTTTACAGCTGATCAGTAAGCCCCATGTACTCCCTTCTACAAGCTTTGTCACTTACTTTAATTGCTGGTGATTTACATCGCCCGTAAACAATCAATTTCTAACAGTTATGACTCTGCTTTTTGGAAACATCCAAAACTAATAGTTGTGCGATGGATTACTCTGCATATTCGACCATGTTCTTACTTAGAGGGCGCTACATCGTCAGTGTTGTGTGCGAACTTAACTACGGTCTGGTCGTGCACTATATTCAGGCAGGGGGTCTTGTTTGACATTTCTTTGGCGCCACCAAGCGACAAACATGACAGTCACTAAAAATATTTGTTGAAGATTATGTTGCGAATTCCTTTCGTTACGTATTTTCAGAACTTGAGGTGATCATCAGGCGTTGAAAAAAGGAGTAAAAACTTTAATATTTCAAATAAAGAAATTTGATACAAACAGACAAAAATGATCTAAACCCTCATCTTTTCACAGTATTCAAGTATAAGGTTTCACAACTTTAGATTGTCGCCTGAGCGAATCACGTATTCTAGTATTCTCCAGAGCTTTGACGAAATTACTTAATAATTGGATTTTGCAAGATGCTCAAAAAGTATTAGATGGGGGTGAAGTTAATACAAAGTAATATAATCTTTAAAACAGCAACGGAGCATTATTGCCCACGTGCCGAACCGTTACACAACCATTTACAGCGTATCAGTTGCAAATCAAATTAGTTTCTCTTCGCGAAAGATAAATGAAAGTCGTCACGAAAAGAAAACTTACAAGTGTCTCGTTGGAAAAAGTTTAAAACCAACTTACCTTTTGGTTACTATTGGATATAGGCCCTTTTTCGGGTTTTTATTTCACATTTCGTGTACATAACCAATGAAATCCCAGTACGATGGCTTACGTTTCCCTCCGACACAAACGATACCTAAACCGTTTTAATATGGGGTCCCATTTTTCAAGGGCTTTTGTAATGAATTGATTGGAGTATGTTCTCTTTGGGTTTGAAAGAGAATTATATTATGTTTGTCTTTTCCAACGTCTGAAGGGGTCAAGGGTGGGGTCACGAACTTCAACCAATGAGGGGCTTGCTTCTATTTGTCCCTCATTAATCACACCATTATATTTCTGTGCTTAAATCACAAGTCCTTTTTTCCGAATGTATGCACGACAGTTTCTTTAATTTATTGAGCACATTAAAGGTGGAAGTTATCAAAATAAAATTCTTGCTTTCCTCAGTGCCTTACCGGTAAAGATATGTATACCAGAGTGATAAAGTTATGCCTTGCATCCATTTGGAGTTATTGATGTATAGTTCAAGAGGCGGATTAGTAACATTGAACCGTTCATCATCTTTCCGACCGGTGTGGGCGCGCCGAATAAATCATGTCACGTACACAATTTGCCATAATGTCTTTTGCCTTGGTAAATTAATTCCGTAAAAAAAATAACTTCCCAAGATATTTCGAAAGCCATATCTTAAAATATCAGGGATATTATCACCGGGAATCTTTTTTTACAAAGCTGGAAGATAGTGCTAGGAGTTTCTGCAAAGTCCGTTCCTTATCCCCGGCGCCGTCGAATATTACTGGCGTGTCATCAACGTTAATAAGTTGTGGCAAGATGACCCTAATCACTGCTGTGTTATTCAAGTAGGCTCGCCCATTATTACAGATACTAAAAAATATGTCTGGCCTGCCCTGCTTCCTTGAAGCATTAAAGGGACACTCTCCCAGTTATAGAAAGAAATATTGGCTCTAGTCATGTCTTCCATAGTACTCAACATGTCTTCCATAGTACTCAACATGTCTTCCATAGTACTTTTGCATGCACATATAATTTTTTTTTTTTAAAGAGAGAGGCCAGGTAAACCTAGTAAGACCAATAACAGTCAGTAAGTCAGTCTGCTGAGATAGTTACAAAGATGACTGTAGGCTGGCCTTCTAGGACTAGCAAGAAAAAACAAATTACATGGTGCCCCATGCTAAAAGAGTTTTCTTCAAACTTTGAAGCGGTGAATATACCTGTTCATTCTTTGCATGGAAAAGCCGTGTTGCAGCAACCTTGAGGCCACACGTAGAGAACGGAAGCTTTTCGCAATGAAACTGTAAAGGTTGCAAGGGTATTGCACGAGAATATATTCAAGTTGCCAAAGATTGCAATTGCGATCTCGCTTTCACCTCAATCGCGCCTTCGACCCACTTCGCTATAACGTTGAGGTGAATATAAAACATTAGTGTACGGCACCATTTCTGGCGGTCGGTAGCACTCTGAAATGTCCCAGGTCAGATTGACCCAGAATCCAGGTTCAACTTTGTAATCCAGGTTCAAACCCTTTTATGGGTAAAAAAAATGACACTTTTCCGGATCAAAATATGTTTTCCAGGTCATTTTGACCCAGAAAAATATCCTTTTTTGACCCGGAAAGGGGTTAAGCAAATTTGGACCCGGATTCCGGGTCAATCTGACCCAGGAGTTTTAGAGTGTGATACCTGAACAAAACTGCATGAAAGTAAGGTATTATTATGGGGCTAAGGTTCTACGGTATTTCTTAGCACAGATTATTTCTGTTCATCAGTAACAGGTCAAGAGCCATCATTCCATACAATCTGCTTGCGGCAGGTGCTTAGTTGATTATTGCTTAGCGCATAAATTCCCCCTTCGGTAGTTTCTGCTCAGCAGCTCCATAACATGGAGTCTAGGTCCCAGACTGAAAAGAAATTGTTATTCGAAATAAGGAATTCAATGGTATTCTGGAAAAGCTTTTGAATGCACAGAGTCGACTGAGCGAGCTTGAAAGGACCGGTTGTCAGTTTTGCAGGAGTTTTTTTTTTCTCTCAAGATGATGCTAATTGAATTTGAACTAAGTCGGTGTCAAGCCCTTATTATGTATCATATCCTGTGTGTGTGTCGTCCAGGCCTTGATATAGTCACAGGTCAACCCATAACTCCCATCCCCTGGAACTGTCCGTCGTTGGGGTCAAATTGGGGGGGGGGGGACGATGGGTCACAAGGTGACCTACTTCGGTGTGAATATGCCATGGCTGCTTTGCAGAAACAAAAGACATTACAATTTTGCAGGTGGCAGTTTGATATCAATTTCTTTCTGGCCAGGCCAACTTGTTTTCAGCATATGGCATGCATCCCGGTAATGTGAGTACGCAGTTATGGTTTGGAATCGAGGAACGCCAGGCCACAACACAAGTGGACTTGTGTAATTAGTGTATGACAAATGAACACGCAACTTTTAGTGTGGGCGTGCATTACGTACACCCGAGGACAGACAGACAAAGGGAGAACAACAGATCCTTTCAGTCCTCATGAGTTGTGTCTTTTGTTCAACACGGTCCTCGATCGTGCGTTTGTGTGCTTAGTCTATGGGAGAATGTTATAGGGACAAAGGAAAACACTATAGGTTGTCCTCGAGAGTATGGTAAAACACGACTGTGTGTTTTGTACATTTTTTTTCCGGACGCACATTTGGCTTAAATCGAGTGATTAATGGCCCAGCATGTGGCTGTTCCAAAAATGGAACACCGGCATGGAAACAGGCACCTAAGATATCACATTGAACTCAACGCAATTTTTTTTTGGTTTTCTTCATTTTATGCAGGAAGATACACGATGCGGTTCAACAACCAAACGACACAGTACGACAGTCAAGATACGGAGGCCGAGACAAGCCAAGCATTTTTGTAGCAATGTTGCCCATCGTGTTAAATTGCACATTTCAAAACGCAATAGCTTAATAATGTACATGTACAGTCACACAGACTACTCAACAAGTTTTGTAACCACATTTGTAACGTAATAAGTAATGGAATTTTGTTGGTCGGGATAATGTTCATTTTATACAAGAGGATTTGCCCTTCGCCGAGGGAATAACTGTAATCCTAATCGTCCACTGGTTATGACGCCTGAGCAAGTAAGCAGGTGGTTGTGGTTCTTAAAAAGGATCTTAGAATTTAAAAAAATCCTTAAAAAATTCGAAGCGTTTCAGTGCGAGCAGAACTTTGTCGTCGAAGGGCAAACCCCTTGGCATGAAACCAATGAGAAGTTTCAAGTAACGGATGACACTGGTCTATGAACGTAACATTACTGTTGCAACGGAGGATACATTGTACTAAATATAAAATTTCTTGAATGTAAATTTAAAAAAAAAAATGAGCTAAATGGAGGGTATTTTATAAGTAGACATTGACGAAGCAGAAAGAAATGAGAGTAAGATGCCTGCAGCTTTAAGGAAGCCATTAGAGTGCACTCGAACAACAGCGGGGTAATTAGTATTGATGTGGCCATTTGAAAAGGAAATGCGTTCAGAAATGGATGCCTGTGAATTTACCTGACACTGAAACTCAATCAAGGACATCATAAAGTGACTTCAGCGATGTGAACAAAAAGAGAGGACGAGTAAACAGAATTAGACGACTGTTTTATGAACGAGAATGGGTGGTTTTGGGATGAGGAAACGCGATTTTGCAATGGCATTTTCGGCTCCTGGAAACAACTAGTTAAAAAAATATTTAAAAAAAATAAAAAAATAATCAGTACTTAATTAATAAAAACGCGACTATTATTGGCACTGGCAAAAGAATGGCCTGAGCTGTAAACGTTGTTGATTCAAAGAGCTTTGATGAAAACCAGGTGCTCAGCTCAAGTCGTCTAACGTGAAGAAAAAGACATTATGAGAGCATTGCTATTTCGACAAATCTTCTGCACTGAAATTTCAGACCACAGTCGGCTATTTCAAGCACCTGACTTCGCTGTTGTATGACGACTATTTTGGGGACAGTGGACCCGACAAAAATGACAGTGACATTAATGACGATAACATCCAATTGTCGTAATAATTTCTATCACGATGTCGCTGAAACTTTTTGAAACACAATTCCATTTTGTATTCAGTGTAAAAATGTAGATACTGTACAGTAGTGGTAGAAGCCCAGACCAGAATCTATTTACAAAGGATTTTAGTTTTTCTATCAGAGAGAATATAATGTGTATTATGTTGTTAAGTAATAACGCAGCGCCATGATCTATCTTGTACATTGTTTAATAACCGTCCTTTGAAGCAATTGAATTAGCTGATGTTGACAGAGAGACATTAATGGAAATTTGATGCACAATTAATACACGACATTGACTGCAACGGACCTTTATTGCGTTCTTTTAGTACTAAAACAAATTTATCTATGCCAGGAAGGTCAGTTCATCAAATTTTGATTGATGGCCACTTTGTTGCCAGACCAGCCAGACATTTGAGTAAGATATACAAAAAGGATGTGGCTGAATATGCAGAAATTGTACGAAATGTCCATTAGTATCGTGTAAATTGCCATTACTCAATGTATACGTGATTGCAGTTTGGTTGTGGACAGAATTGCTGGAATTGTGTGTACGGTAGGGGATAACATGGTTCCAATGCATGGGTTGCCTAAATGCATGATTTCATATTGAAACGTGGTTTTGACTTCCAGGGGACTTTGATTTCAAGCTGTTTTTCTCCAAAGGTGTCATTTAGTCTGACATCTTAAGTTGACAGGTATAGTAACGTACAGATATCATAAAGCGTCATGGGGATTGGGGAGGCCTGGGGCCCTTCGCGCCTTTTTTTTACCCGCGCATTTCCGACGAATCGGAATGGCCAATTTGATTAATTTTGTTTTGGTTTCCACTTAGGGCGAAATGCGAGACGTCCTGAATTTTTTCGCGATCTAGTAATGTGACCCTGGGTGATTTTAATTTTCATTTAAACCGCCGTGCGGGAATTACCAAAAGGTTGATATAGATTTCTCTTCTGGCTCGGCAGTCGCGTGCGTACTTATTTCTGTTACCGGACAGCAATCCGATTTAGATGATTGGATATATCTTGCTGCCTTGTTAATTGAAACCGACGTAGGTTACTGAGGGGGGTACGGTATTCCAAGCCAACTGACATACCGTGCGCTGCTCTCGCTATAGCAAGCATGCACGGTAACCTTTAAAGCCTCGTCAGATGTTGCTTTTCTTTCTCATTTCTTTCTTAAAGACGATTTAGACTGACTTTACCGACTTGGAGACAAGAGAACGGCCTCAGACGAAACTAGACAAAGTGACAAATGTACGAACGCACGGACCAATGCTGAGGGATCAAAACATAGTTGTAGGAGAAAGTCTACAAAGCTAATAAAAGTTTCCTATATCTCTCGTATGATTATGAATATCGATGAAGTTATCCTAATCGAAACTCAAAACTTAGGGGGGAAACGTACACATTTTTAACAAATTAAAAACGGTATCTGTCGTGATGCTCCACGTATTGTAACTAAAAACTGCATTTGAAACTAGGCTAGTTTCTATTTATATAAAAAATATTTAATCATGGAACATGTACCTAATCGTTCGTGAATCACAGAGACAATGCCAAATAAGCGGTATAAAAAAACCGCCCCCGGAAAATTAGGTGTTATCTTTGTCTGAGTAAATTTGGTTGATAGGATTGCACGGGTACCATGCTGGTGTTTGGCCTATATATTCAGGTTTTAAAATGACCCCCATTGTTTCAGCCCGGATATGCATCTGAAACGCCGGATATACCAATACAGAGTGTGCCAACAAAGTGCAACATTCAGAAAACAAATAATTAAAACCGTAATTTTTTTTTCTTCAATGAAATTATACATTACATTAAGGCCTGACTATTTCCTCGATTCACTCCTTTTTACCCCATTCCATTTGGGTCCCTAGATCCAGAAAGACAATCAATTCAGTGAAAGTGTGTATACATTTTACTTGGGACACACTCACCTAGACACGCTGAATCTGGGTTAAGCGTTGAATAGGCATTGAATCGGTATTGTAGTTGATGACATCACAGGTGAGAGTGACAGTTTTAACTACATGTACTTGTTTTCTGAATGTTGCACTTTTGTTGGCACACTTTGTACATGAAAACAGGGCCTCATAAAATTGCAGTTCTGTTGTAAAACTCTGTTAAATTAACTTCATTGTGAGACCCGCGCGCAATAGCGCGGTCTACCTCAAAAAATGGGTTCTGATTAATGTGGTCGCCAGGTTTGACACCCGAGACTAACACGACGAAAGGCGTTCGCCCTGAGACATCAAAAGTCAACGCAGACAACTAAACAATGCATACACAGGCGGAAGACCGAATGAGATATTTGTACAAAAAAAGTTAAGTATTGTTCATAAAGTTTTTGTAATTTGAATTCGAAGCAGCACTATTAATTAATTTAAAGACGAATGTAATAAACAAAAAGTACAAGCATAACTGGAAACCAAACGTTAAATTGTGTACGAGTATTGTGTGATTTTAGTGTAATACACATGCGTGAAACATATCACGTGAATGAATAAATATTAATGATTTGAAATAACTTCTTACACTTTATATTCCACGGTAGATACCGTGGCTTAACTGTGGCGTGCTATCAACTTATCCGGTGGTCCAAGTGCTGCAGGTTGCTGGTTCGAATCCCTGAAATTTTACATTTTTATTTGTTTCCCCAAAAAGTGAATTTTCTTTCCCTAAATTGTGTTTAATCAAGTCCTACTGATCGTTAAATAAAGTTCACTTTTTTGTCTCATACGTGGCTCTGGAGGTTTTTTTTTAAGGGACCATTCCGTTACCAACTGACGCATGCGCATACTTGGCTGCAGAAAAAAGTAATTGCGTCCCCGTGAACTCTTGGCCTGGTTCCCTGACCTGACGTTACACTGACGTCTCTTATTACATTGTCACATTAAAAAATAGAACATCATGAATACAATAATTGTGCAATTGATTATTTGACTAGGATTGTTCTGGCTAAAACAGTAATAGAATCATTTAAAATTGAGGGAGGTCTTTCTTACAGGCGGGATAACCAACTTATCGAGAGAAAAATGAATATGGATTGTACTTCTTAAAAGTTTAAACTCGATTTATATTGTGATCAGTATTATCAATATGCAATTGAGAAAAAAATTGTTAAAACACAAAATCGAACTGCCAGGTTAATGACCAACCAAGATTTAGTTTCAGTTCCTTATGCTCAGGGTTTCCAAATGTAACCCAGCCTAATCCGGTTTTTTTCAATCTTAAATTGAGCCGGAAAGGGTGTCAATATTTTTGATCCGGAAATATCTGAGTCCTCCGGCCCAATGCTGCAGTTTCCCTGGATCTTTCCCGTTCGTCCTGAGTCATACGACGCGGCCGACAACAAGCACAAGTTGCAAACACATTTTTCCGCTTCGTCATTATACCCCGTCGCCTTAAAGTAATCAAATCCGGTAATAAATGCCGCTAGTCGGATAGTATTCCGCAATCGAAGACATCTAGCAAAACGAGCCCCCCCCCCCCGACACTACAGGGGGCTAACATATATCACCTCACCCAGGCAACTTCCCATCAGCACATCCTCCTCCACCGTCTTTTGTTTTCTTCTACCGTCTCGGTTCCGCCGACCTATCGCGAATTCCCCCTACTCGCCGGAAAATTTAACCAGACGAGGGTTATTTTGCCCTTAAGTGGACTGAATATCGAGTCTGGGATCTGGGCATATCGATCTGATGAAGGTGGGGAGAGAAGGCGGACCGCATTTAGTTCGACTGCGGGGCAGTATTCAATTTAGGAAGACTGTTGTTCCTTTGCATTCTGTTGATTGCAGTTTTTGTGATGTTCGGTGAGTGAATTTAGTGAACAAGAGGAACAACTGAGTGCATAAAGAGACAATAAAATAACAAGCCGACTTACTTCGTAAGGCGACACGTATAAACAGCTATCAACGTTATTTTTTCCCTCCACAACACATAGTAACAGCACTGCGATTTAAAATATCTCCTCGAAAATTCTAATATAAAAAAGTTCTTTAGAAACAAACCCAAATACACATACAAACAACACCATCAACAACAGCAAATCCAACATTAGCAATAACAACAAAAAGTAACAACGTATGTAAAAAAAAAAAAAAAAAAAATTCAAAATTCATTTTGTGAACTTCAAAGCCATTGAAATAATAACGGGTCTGCAAATTCGAGCCCTTTTTGTTCTCGCAAGCGCTTGGACGCTAGTATGCAGTGCTTGTAAACTATGTCAATGCCGGGCAAAATCCAACTCACAATTCCAGGCAACAAATATACTTCAATCTCTTCCGGTGAGGAGGTTTTTTTTTAATTTGAGAAGACGAGAATACATTTGGACGCCGAGCACGCCTTAGTAAGAGCTACATTGAGTTCATCTCCCGACTCTGCCTCGTCAACCCAGCCGTCCGTGCATTCACGCCTAAAGGGCCGACGTTGGTATCAGCACGTACGCTATGTGTACCCACCCCATTTTCTTTTTGCCGAACAAGTCCAGCGGGGCATATGCAGCATGCAAGTGCTGCCGGATTTTTTTTAAGAAAATGTCAAGAGAGTTTTGGGAAAACAAGCAGCTTTGATGGCTATTGGATTACCACCCCATTCTACCCATCTAACTTTCTGACTGGATTTCTCTGATCCAAAGCAGAACTTTATCAGACTCTTTTAAATCTTCTCTTCAGATTCTCTGTAACGGGAGCTGGGGCCAATTTCATGAAGCCACAAGGCACACATTTTTTTTCTAAGCACCGAAAAGATTTGCTGAGCTAAATAATAGGCCATCATATTGGCTTCGATCGTGCGCCAACAAAAGAGGGCGCTTTGGAACCACTTTTGAGAGCCCCGTGGACGGGCCACACAGCGTGTGCTTACTGTACTGGTTCGCTCGCGAAGTACGCACGACTTCCTGAATGTGCCAAAGCTAGACCTTTCTCAAATTGTACTTGTAATTACAACATCTTGTTTTGGTTGCTAAGTTCATGGTTTTTTTTCAAAATGTACACATATTTAGCTTAAATTTAGGTACACACCCCGTGTTGGATTTTTTTCTCCTAACGAATTTGCAGTTTGTATTTGATTTGTTTTAACGAAAACATCTGCTTTATGCTTATTTAGGGCACCTGCAACCCTCTGGAAAAAGGGATTTCATTTTGTGCACAAATGACCCCGCCCGGCGAGAGCCGAATTATTGTCTGGCAGCCAGCATTTCGATTTTCGTGGAGAAATAAGTCAATAACTAAACGTCGGTTGATTTTTTTTTTCCTTTCGATTTCTCATTCAAAAGTGAATATTTTTTATTTTTCGAGGAAAATACCAATTGAAAATGCAAATCTATTTTTGACGTTTAACTCGAAAATAGCGCGGGAAACCATCTTTAATTAAACTTCGAAATACAAACAATGCTCTCAAAGAAGGTAGTAAAATATAGCTGCTGTTAAATATATCACTGATATAAAACTGTTAGTTCCCTTTAAAATGCCTCTACGGAGTTGGGGCGCAATGCTTTCAGTATATTTTTTTTACCCAGCGATTTTGCCAACTATTTGGACCTCTCTTTAAGTCATAGGCGGATCTTGAGCTACGCAGTTATGCACATGAATAGCGTATTCGCAATTATCTTGATCAAACTCAAATTACGTTTACTTTTAGATTTCATCATATGTTATAGAGTGCGCAAATATTTTTCCAAGGGAATTTCCTTTCACCAAGTTCCGGAGAAAGAGCCGACAATTTGATTATATCTGCATCGCCAAGTACAAAAACAGCACCACACAAAGATGTTTTTGCCATTTCTAGCATTATAGTGTACACCTGCTACATTCGTTGGTTTCGACTGCGTTTTTTATTGAGAGCTTTGTTGACGTCAAAGCAAAGAAAAAGATATTTAAAAAATGACAAAATAGAAAATGAATGAAAGGTAATTTTAAGCTTTATGTCATTATACATAATTTAAAGTGATTTTAATCTTTTTTTATTCATTTCCTGATTTGATCTTACAACAACGAGTTAAACAAGTATTCTAAGTGTCCACTTATAAAAAAACATTTAAACCCTAAACATCACATTCATGAATGACAAATATATTTCTAACCAGAAATAGATAAAATAAAACATGAAACCGATAATAAAGATAAATTAGTGTTAACCAAATATAAAACAAAATATATAAACATTTTTTTCAAGAAATACACTTTGGTGAAACAACTCCTCTTTTAACTGATTTTGTGAAGAGAAATAGCATGTCTTAATGGACTTGAAATTGTCTGAAAGAAGAGGGAGTGCTCCCTTAATTTTCCCAATTCACTTAAGAGGCCTAGGCAAATAATGTCCTGCCTATCAACAAAAGTATGACCAACCAAAAAAAAATGAAAATTGTCGACTGAGTTTTTCATTGACATAGAGATAGAGAGAGGGAGGGACGAAAAAATCAATCAGGAGAATTCGAGGCGAAGGTGGAAAAAGATTGACTGGATCTAGTCGACGTGTCCAGAGGGTCATTATGTGTGAAACCAAAGACGGAGGATGGGCCTAGTGTAGCTAATGGTGAACGGCACTGGATCGATAGCGTGTAAGGCTAATATTCCCGGCCCGCTTTGCCTTTCATTAATAACCTGCGCAAGCCTATACCACTGCGCACCAAGTGCCGCGCTGAAAACGGGATACACAAACTATCTTCCACTGCTAGTTGGACGTGGTTATCTAGTGCCGCTTATACGCTGTGATTGCGCATGCTGATGAGTAGATGAAAGAAGAAAAAAAAACATAACAGCACCAACGTGATTTCTGTCTCTAGATACATCTGAATTTGTTTTCGAAAAGGACAACATAGATGAGACTGTTACACATGGACGTTACGCCTTGTGAGGTGAAGTGAAACGGACTATATGGTAATACAGGTAAGAGCTCCGGAAATCGTCGATGTTTCAATTGTGTTAAATGGCCTGAAACTTGATCTTAATGTTATGTTTCTCTTGAGATGATAATTTTATAAAAGAGATGTTATATTATTAATTCTTTAAATCACTTTTTTTCTCCAGTTGAATTTTTTTTGTCCTTTCTTGCATGCTTCTCTCACAAAGAAATTATGACATATAAATAGAAACGTTCCCGCACAGAAGCAACTGCCCATACTGTAATGTTGGTTTTACCGTTTGTTTACTCATTAATTGTAGGGCTCTTAATAATATATTTGACCGCTTGTAATGTCAAACAACCTAAGAGAAACTAGTCAATTGGGTTAATCAACTGACAAGAAACTAACTTCCCCAATACGATTTTCCCCCCAATACTCCAAAAACACCTTCAAAAGATAGACCAATACATCTGAAACACGTAACAAATTTACTCCGTCAGGCTCGGCTAAATTTGAATTCCAGTTGGAAAAAAACCCTTTTTTGTTTGATAATCTAAAAAAAAAAAAATGCATTTGGGGTAGGGGGGTAGTATTTAAATAACCAAACGGCAATGAGCGAGTTTTGATAACCAAAGAAGGCCAGCCTGATAAAGCTGGTCCCAGAGAATACAGTTCTATCAAATTGATTCAAGAATGGCTATTCACTGGAAGTCTTTTCATGCATCAGGCTTACACAGTGGGTCAGATTTATATTCGATTGTGCTACGGGGTAATCATATACGATTGCACTGCCCGGTTCATTTAGTGACTGTTAGTCAGTCAGTCACTGAGTCAGTCAGTAAGAT